AATATTTTAATCAAGGTCAATAAAATATATTTTCTTATTGTGCAAACTGATAAAGTTGTTTTTATGGCTGATTTATATGGGTGCCACACCTGGAATAGTTCCGAGCAAAATCTCTGGTTGACCAAACTTAGCTTTGTTTCCAGCATAAATGATATTACACATCATGGCTAGGTATCCGCCGCTTTCGCCCCCTATCGAGTTCGCCCCTTCGAGTTCGCCCCTACCTTATACCGTGTTCGCCCCCACATTTTCATAAATAAAGCTAAACCAGGTACAAGTCTAACAACTTAAGCAATGCTGTCGCGATGAAAGTGTGATTTGCATCTTCTCAAATCTGGTTGCTATGACCGAAAACCCTATGAAGCGTGGAACGCTTTTTATTAAGAAGTCTTACATAATCAAAAGCCTGACCAAATCGTGGTGACGTAAATTCTTCAGTCTTATTTTCATAAATAAAGCTAAACGGGTACAAGTCTAACAACTTAAGCAATGCTGTCGCGATGAAAGCGTGGTTTGCATCTTCTCAAGTCTGGTTGTTACGATCAACACATTTCGTGTTCGTTAGATAAACCGAGGTTGTTTTACATCTTTTCCAGTCTGAATAATAAGTTAAGCAATGTTGTTTTGATTAAGTGTGGTTCTCTTTATCACAACTTCAATGTATACAGTTATTTCTGGTAACCCCAGATCCCACGCAGAGTGTTTGGTTGATTCCGTCAACCCAGTTCCCAAGCAGGTTCCACGCAATTGCCGGAATTCAAAATGGTCGTCGCTGACTTGACATTTGGCACATTCTGCTAGTGCCTTCGTCACAAATCAACTCATCTGGATATCACTCAATCAAAGGGCGAACTCGACTTGATGGGGTCGAACTTGAAAAGTCTGGGGGCGAACACGGCATAAGGTAAGGGCGAGCTCGAAGGGGCGAACTCGATAGGGGGCGAACGCGATGCATGGCTAACTTACATCCTCCTCCAAGCTGTGAAGAAGTATTGTACAACATACTTCAATTAAGCAACAATAAAAAAGACAAACTTTGTTTGCCACCCTTAATAACACAATGACAGTTACAAGAAAATTTCTTGACTATTGGACAATCTGAGCACTGAGCTGGTGATTTGCACCAGTAACTGAGACCACTGGCATCTCATTCAAAATAATATTTTGGACATATTAATAATGGTAACAGGACCGAGTGGAGTCTAATTTGGACTGTAATCATACGAATAATGAACAAAATCGTACGACCGCAAAGTGGGAGTCCGATTTGTTAATCACTCGTTACCAATTAGTCAAAACTATGACAAAATTTGAGAAAGAAACTAGACATCGGT